TAAATATTAATGATAGTAAGTGATATAATTTAAAGAGGAATGAAATAAAGAATCAAAAGTAATGGAATAAAATTGAAAGTCACGATTTAAAAGAAAATAACAAATTCATGCAAATTGGGCTGACTTTTCGTCATGTCAAACAAGACCCCCTAATCATAGGTTGCAGACATAGTGCTGATCTTTAAATGGGAGTCTGAAAATCTGTACACCACTAAATCCAGCAGTCAGTAGCTATAAGAACTGATGTCATATCTAATTTTGGAGGCTTACAACTTTCTTTCAGCCTACATCTATACCAGCCAAAAATTCGTGTCCGAGTAGAGAGGACATCCATTACACAAACCTAGCCACAGTCAATGAAAACTTACAAACTCGTGTGATGTTTGTACGAACTAATGATTTTTTTGTTTTTGATCACCCGGTTGATATCGAATCCTAAATACAATACTATCGTTTGTGCTCACCTAGTTCTATCTGGCTTAAACTGCATTGTTTCGGGAATTCGTAGTTAGTACAGTAATTCGAATACTTCTATCATATTGGTTTCGCGATGGAGCCTATGATGGAACAGTTGGTTGTACATTCAGATTCCGAAGCTTTCAAAGATTACATGGAAAGATTTGAATTATTGAGTAATTTGATGTCTGTGTGCAATAATGACTGTGTGCTGTTTGTATGAACAAATTATTCCTTTATACTTGATTACCGTCTGATTTCTAATTCCAAGTACAATACGTTCGTTTCTGCCCACCTAGTTCCGTTTGGTATAAAGTGCTCTATTTCGGGGGATTCCTAGTTCATACAGTAATTCAAATACTTCTTAATATTTCTTTGGCGTTGCGATGGAGCCTGTGATAGAATAGTTGGACATACATCCAGATCCCGAGAATTATTTGAGAAGGCTCGGAATCTGGAGTATGACCAGAAAATATGTTAAAGATGATAAAATTGTGGTTCATTTCCTCAAATTCATCGGAAAGGATGACTACAGCCTATTGAAAACTTTAGCATTCCTAGATAAACCTACTTCACTTCCCTATGAAACTCTCAAAAGACTACTACAAATCGTGCAAAGTATATTAATTTCGAATGTCCTGAGAAAGCAAAATCTCATAAAATGATTCGTCAGCATAACCAAAACGTTGGAGAATTTATCCTTGAATTTTAAAAACAAACTGCCAAATGCAATTCCGGTGACCAACTTCATGTGCAGCTGCGTGATCGACTGATTGCAGGGAATAACATACCTAATTTGGAAAGAGAGCTTATACAAATGCCGAAGTGTTCTTTTCAAAATGTTAGAACTATGTGTATTAGTTACGAGGAAGTGCATGAGATTGACTTCCAGGACATCAAGAATTCCACTACATTACTTAATTATCCCAGTCCAATGCTTACTTAAAGTCATGCAGATAACATTTCATTGCAAAATGCTTCACAAAGGTGGGCACAAGTTTGGTAAATGTTTGTCCTGTGGTAAATTAAATTCACGTAATTCATGTGCATTTTGTAATGCTAAATGCTTTAAATGTGGTAAAATTGGACACATCCAGTCAGTTTGCAAAACTACTTTGCATTTCGCTGCAGGTGATGCTGAACTTTGTCATTCAGATCCTATTAACTTGTGTGATTCCAATGTTCATATATTATCCTTAGTTACAACTTCCAATAATTCACTTCATATTCAAAAACGATTATATCTGTCCAGCGATGCTTTTCACGATTTTATTGTTGACAATGGCAGCATTATGTCTATTTTTTCGGTTGGGAAGTTGAAGTCATTAAATCCTAATGACATAATTATGCCTTCCAAAGTTTCGATTCCGAGTATTACTGTGTATAAACTTTCTATTCTTGGATCTTGTAATCTGTTAATCAGAGATGATAAATCTTCAATATAAATTGTGAATTTCTCACCTTTGAGAGTGGATCGTCTATACTAGGTCTATAAATTTAAGAATTCTTCAGGGTTAACCTTCCTTATTGACCACTGGAAATGGTTCTAATGATGTACTTGATAACTTACTAACTATGGAATCGAAGTGCGGAAAATTACACACGACCCAAGTCCCTCTCATTCTCATGTGTAAGCAAGACATTTCAAAACCTTGAGAACAAGTGTCAATTCTACTACCGCTGCAAAGTTAAAAGACCCGGAGAGGAGAGCATATAAAGTCACTCAGTGAAGAATTACTAAACCGTACGCAAAAGAAACAATGATGAAACTACTTAAACAAAAAAACCATTGAGAAAGAACTCTCTTTTCACAACCCATGGAAGGTCTACTAAAACAGGTCAATAAACATGTGGTTCATATGCGAGTCAGTCACAACAACCGAATGCGTTAAAAGGAACCAGGTGAGTCTGTTCCAATTTCTGTTGTTAATTCTGACACTAATAAGTACGTTCTGGATTATACAGAGTCTACACCCAATACGTAGTCTGACAGACATACGATGAACCTAAAAAGAAGGCGCACAATCGATTACAGAAATTTAGATTCTAATTTAAGCTTTGGCGGTTGTGTTTGTACGAACTAATGATTTTTTTAAACTTGATCACCCGGTTGATGTCGAATCCTAAATACAGTAAGTTTGTTTGTGCTCACCTAATTCTATCTGGCTTAAACTGCACTGTTATGGGAATTCGTAGTTAGTACAGTAATTCGAACACTTCTAATTATCATAGCTCACCAACCGATTTTTCATGTATATCTACTATCTTATGCCAGACATCAGTCTTACTTACAAAGTTCTGTATCAAATAAGAAGAATGAGTCAAAGACAAGTAAGATTGAATACTACCGACTTACGTACGTCCTCCACTTTCATTGATCACACTTCACAGCTTTAAATAGAAAGGAAACGAAACACAGATTAAAATACTCGCCTCTTCACTTTCAAACAGTTATTTATCTACGTCACAGATCATGAAAGCTGTCAAGGGCCGATCGAGCTTTCTTTACTCGTGTAACATTGTGTCAACCACGGCTGCTCAGATTTTCACAGTAGATGGGATTATAAATTTATTGTAGCCATTATTTGTGTGAGTCGGAAGTGAGTGTTCACACATCTGACAGTTGAAGTCTCATGCAAATCGCCAGGTTATTATGAAAATAAATTCCATAGACCATGGTTTATTCAATTTACATTTCGCTTACGCGGTCACATCTATAAATCAGTATGATATGATTATTAGTTCATGAAGATATTAGGCGGTTGAAATCAGCTAATAAAAAGCTATAAACCCATGTTTGTGCCAATTAGCAATTATCAGTTGGGTATATCAGCAATATTAAATCCTTAAAACCTAGATCCAAGGCTTCAATATCAGTTACTCTCAAAATACTGGAAATTAAACATAAACCTCCACGCGGTTAAGTTATTTAGTCTACTGACCACATTGTGAATTAATCAATAAAATAAAATCACTACTGAGAGCTAAACAACATGACATTAGTCGCTACTTAATAGATCATTGGTTTATTTCATACATATATGCGTTCATTTGTAACTGTAAAATAAAGAGATCAATATCTATGCTCATAATGCATATGACATGAAGCGATACCGAGGCCATTAGCACAGAATGCATATAAGCCAGTAATAGACTGATTGATTCCAGTCCTAAACAACCAATAAAAAATGAATTAGACTTCACCACATTGCACAAGCTAGTTGCTATCTGGACTCAATAGCTTAGTGGATAACGTGATGGAATTTGAGGCGAACAGTACTGAATTTGAGTCCCAGAGTGAGCTTCAACTCAGGAATGCAGGCACATCTAGCTAACGAGCCCCGAATAGGTGAAACGCGAGTCCTGGATTCCATTGCTACCCACCATCCACCTCTGCTCACCATTGGTTTAGCTTGCTTCTACAAACATTTGAATGTAAACTGATAAGACTTACCTGTTGATTTCTTTTGTTTAATGTAGAAAAGTTACCTTGTAAAAAGGAGAAAATGAAGTTACTTGCAAAAAATCTCTTCTATTACTATTTCCCATCATTTTCCTACATATTATCATGAGCCATATTGTCACGTCTACTTGACTATTTTACATGTATGACAAAACCATTTCAATACTTAAACTACGCTCCATTTATTCTCAAGTATTCAACGAATCAAATAACAATTTGAAGAAAAGCATTTTGAATAAAAGCTAAGAAGTAGAGAATATAATGAAGTAAAACAAATTAAGAATATGATTCACTTAGTTTTCTTTGTTTGAATCTTCCCATTGATGTTTAGGACTGCAACTGCTCAGTCTCTAATTGGCATATATGCATACTGTGCGTATTGCCTCGATATAGCCTTACTTCACAAGCATTATAAGCAAATATGGATAGTGGCTAGCAGTGGAATCCAGTTTGATGCGCGTTTCGTCCTATTTGAGACTCATCAGCTGGATGTACCTGCATCTCAGAATTGACGTTTACTCTAGGACTCGAACCCAGTACCTTTCACCCCAAACGCCATTGCGTTATCCGTTCAGCTATTGAGTCCTGATAGCCACTTGCTTGTGCAACGGGGTAAAATTTAAACTCCCTTAGTATTGTTTGTTTGAATCTTTCCATTGATGTTTTTGAACTGCAACTGGTCAGTCTCTTATCGGTCATATGTGCATACTGTGCGTATTACCTCGATATAGCCTTAAGAATATGATTATATTATTAAGTTTACAATAAATAATGATTCATTTACTTATTCATACAAAATGTTTTTACAAATTGAAATTGACAAGACAACTTGAAAGTAAATTATTATGACAATATTTTTCAAAGTAAAGACAAAGAATATAAAAAATTAACTTAAACACTTGGCAACAACTAATCATTTAAAATACGATCCCCCTCTAGAATCATTACTTAAAATTTAAGGTGATCTAATTAAAACAAATATTTTGTTTATTTTAAAAATTTTTTTATAAATTATTTAACGTTAAAATAAATGACATTTACCATAAATTGAGAAATTGACATTCTTTTGTCAAGAGAAAGAAAAAAGAAGTTTTCCCAATATATATAAACAAATATTCTTAGTTCATGTTAATGGATTGACCAACTTTTGGGGATATCTAAAAAAGGATTCTATGTATGAATTGACAATTGGTTACCAACTTAGTGATCTAAAGTAATGACGTCTTCACGAGGCCCGAATGTCTTGGTTTTTGTCACAAAAAGGGATTACGAAGCAATAGTAGAGAATTCCATACGAGGATAAAACAGCTGTCCAAGGATTCTTTGTCCCCAACAGTTGTATAACTGGTCAGTCATTGATGTAAACCGTCTTTTGCTTGATAGCAAAGTACTTGTTAAAAAGCAATAAATATCAAACAGCCATTTTGTCATGCCAATGACGACTGTAAGGACTCTCGTGTTAGCAAGTGAGTAGCCCAATTTTCAGCAGGATCTTTATCGTCTACATTCCACACCTTAGTCTGGAAGTAATCCACACAGACTGACTACCATTAGCTAACGAATAACGTCCTAAAAAATACCATCTTCTAAACTCTTACAAATGTTCAAAGTTGGTATCAGAGAATATACTGTGTAAATAGTATAACATGAAGGAGAAACATTCAGAACTTATTCGATATGATGTAAAGCAAACCCATATGTCTAGCTGTTTACTGCATTATTGTGTAGTACATATGTTTAAAAGCGTTAGAGTTTAGAAAATACTTCCCATAAAAAGAAATTTGCCGTAATAATCCTTCATTTCTTGCTGTTTTGTTATTTTAGGATGGAACCACGTCTTAACTTGGTGTGATTTTGATTCAATATTACCCGTTTTTTATTTAGCCTTATAACTCCTCAGTATAACATACGTTTTATTTTCAGTGATATTTTGCTCAGTATAAGATTAATTTTTATTTTAGTGTGACAATTGTTTAGGACACTAATCTTTGAATTGAATTAATGTGAACTTACTTCAGCACGACATGCAGAATGGACTTCGTAGTATTTCTGTGTAATACCCGTTCCTTTTATGAGGTACTTTTTAGCCAATCATCAAGTGTAAAATTACTTTAAAAATGAATGTTTTTGGCTAAAGTAGTTAATGTATTTCAAGTTGTGAAATAAATCTGCTTCTGTAATCAGTTTTTGTCTTTTTGTTTGCATAATGTATATCACAGTGGTTCTCTGACTAAAACAATCAATCGTTTGGAAATAACGTTAGTTTTCCTGCTACAAGTATTCAGCCATCATTAACGTAGAGCCTGGCATAGACGTGCGTTGAGCCAATATACCATACTGTGTTAGTAGAACCAGATGAAATTAACAAGATGTATAACAAGAGTGATTGAAATAATGTAGTGGAAATGATAATGAGGAAGACTAAGCACTAAGAATAGAGTTCGAAAAAACAGTAGGAAGATATATGTATAGAAGATTGGAGTGCACTACGGATAGAAAAATACAGAGTTAGTACATCTACATCATAGTGAACAATTGGACCATGTCATCTAGTCTCCAATAATTGATCTTAGTTATTGCACGGTTACAGTATAAATAAGAATATAAACTTTGTAACTGGACCCGAATTGTCTAACATTATACCATTTATTCTACCTCTGTAGAGTTGATATTTCGGTCTTCTAAACCAAAAAATGTTAGATCCTAAAACCAGGCCTGTCCTCCAGTTTCATTAAACAATGTGAGTTTTTACAGCTAAAAAGAATGGTAAATGTTACAGACCTGAATATAATGCAGTACCTTAGCACAGCTACTAATACTTGTTCATTAATAGCGGTTGTCTTCTAAAATTTAAACCAGTCGCACAACCATTCGACATACCAGAGTCCTAAACATTATCGAAGATCGCCATTTAATGCTGAACATGAAAGTAATGTGAAACACCAAAATAAGCTCTTGTAAATAAACTGTTTACCTGACATGGTAAAGATATGGCATGTATCACTACGAAATGTGCATAAAGTTGTAATGATGTCATTTTCTCGAAGTATCTATGACTTTCATGTACTACTTATTAATGACAACAATGTGTCTTATGATTCACATTGTTAACAAGTGTCACATATCTTCAATCAAAACAATCTATGAGTCAAGTTCTTTTCATACAATCCGTACTTAATTTTCCAATATTGCCTCATCTTTTAAGACAAACTGATCATGCTTATAAATTACAGTAAACTGCAGTTTCTTATGGGACATATATATATATATATATATGTTTTGAACCTTCCATCAATAACCCGTAGTCCCCCATGTCCTGATACGGCCGAGGGTAGAGAAAGACCCCTCTCCCTCTCGAAATGCTCTCAAATGGCCACTTGCATACAACCACTGCCAGGGAATCCCTACTCACTAACTTCTTACGGCGGGGGTGTTGTTTACGAAATTACGAGGACGAAAAGAAAATACCCGACGCTTCAACCGGATAGGTGGACACGGAAGGTCCACCTAGGGGGGGCTGGAAAACTTTGATTCTAAACCATTGGTGCACATGGGCTCCAGGATACTGAAGGGAAAAATGACGTATGAACCTACTGCTGGTCACCGGATACCATAAGACTGTATGTTCTTACGTTGTCCCCCTGCCTTGTGGATTAAACCTTTAGGTCAAAGGCACCAGATGTGGCCCCTAAAGAAACCACCTGCATCGATATAGGCCCTCGGGTAGTATCACAGCTCACACACAAATCAAGTGAAATGACAAATAACACTGAAAATACTATCATCGTTTAAATTAAAATTCAGACAATTAACATTCATTTTTATTACTTTTATATAAAGCGTCACTTATCTACTCTCTTCTATGCCCACTTTGTGTATCCTTATTTTTCAAATTATACAGCAGGTCGCCTATAGTGGGAACCCTGTCCTATCTAAACGATCTCGAGTCACTGACTGGTCGAATCCTACCACCGAATAGGAAAAATGAAAGTCTTTCTGAAACCATGGATACCATTCAAACTGGCTTCTTTCAACGTTCGCATACTAATACAAATCGGAAGACAGATAGGGTTGGTTATGTCTTTAGAACGTCTTGATATCGACACCTGTTGTCTACCCGAGACTCTAGTGATGTACTACAAATTCGCTGTCCGTCTGTCGCATCGAAAAGGTTGCTTTACGTGCTTTTATCCGGGACCCTGTGGAATCTCCGTCTGGTTTTGTTGGAGTTGTACTGAGCTAGAGCTGAGGCAGCACTGAACAACTGAATCCTTATTAACAGTCGGTTATATGCTCTTAGACCATAAAGTTCCATCAAAGTGAGAAACGATGTCTTTTCATCATCTCCCCCTATGTTCCAACAGATTGCATCCCGGATGCGACCAAGAATGTTTTACCACCAGTTAACAGCTCTTCTACAGGAAGTGCGTCCGACAGACATTGTAGTACTAGCCGGAGACTTGAGTGCTCAGGTCGGGCATCTAGGCACAAAAGAGTCGTTTGGGCGGGCAATGGGGACTTGATGGTCACAGGTCAGATAACGGGGACTATCTACTGCACCTGTGCGCAAACCACAACCTGTCTCTGGCTAGCACCAACTATCGGCACAGTCATCGCCAATGTGCCACCTGGCGCCCTTCCTCTGCATTTCAAGTTTGAACTAAGATTGATCACTTCGCGATCAGCTACCGCTGACGTGGTTGTGTACAAAACTGTCGCCTTTTTTGGAGCACCTATCTGGACTCTAATCATGCCCTTGTTTGCACTAATCTTTCTTTTCAGTGGCCAACATACCCATCGACCCAAACGGATCGATGTCCCTAAATTGGTTGCAACTAAATATCAAACCAAGCTAGGTTCAAGGCTAATTACCATCCCACCGAAAATTATAGATGATCATTGGTTACTATTGCACGCCATGAAAATGGTGAGTGAAGTCGCTTGAGGCTTCGCGAAACGTCCTGCTTATAAGCGCTGGGTTTCTTCTGACTTCTTACAGATTATTGAAGCCCGTCGGTCTACTCCGGGTGACCGTAAGTTTGATCACAAACGACGACTGTTACGTAATAAAATTGGGCAAAAGGACCGCGAAGCCTTGTGGTCTAAGCGTGTCAATGAGTTGGAAGCAGCGACTGCGCTTGTTAAATTCCGGAAGGTTTATCGACTCATCGGAGCCACTGGCAGCAAGAAGTCTGGTGTGAGCGAAACGACCTGTGAAGATAACAGGATGTCAATCACTAACATTTATCGATGTCTTGGACGATGGGCAGAGGTAGTTCAAATGGTCTGCTGCCCCGGCAATACCGACCAGATTGTCCTGCCCTCCATGGTCTGTGATGACTGACCCACCAAATGAGGCGGAAAACCGCAAGGAACTCCAACTCTCGAAGCGCTACAAACCACCGGTCCTTTCCAAAGATGGTGGCGACTTTTTGGTTAAGAAACTGACTGAGTTGTTTACAAAGGTTAGGCAATTGGAGTTATCCAACACCATGGGATGAGTCAACAGTTGTCCCTAACTTTAAAAAGGGTTTACGTCGTTCCTGTAACATTTATCGGGGGATAAGTCTACTTCTGATTGCATCCAAACTATTGGCTTTATACTTCGTAGATTGTTCGAAACCTGAGAAAGATTAACTCATGAGGAGCGGGCTGGTTTTCGTTCTGTTTGTGGATGGATTGGCCATATCTCCCTCCGTCAAATGTTAGAACACTGTCGTACTTATCACAGGCCAACGATCGTAGTGTATCTTGACATTACGGCCGCCTTCAGTTCGTTGGATAGGACTGTTCTCTGGGATTGTCTATTGAAGGCTGTGCCTGAGAAGTTTATTAACATCTTAAAAGCCCTATGTACTTACACCTTAGGTAGAGTGATGATATACAACCATCTCTCTCCACTGTCCCATTCAACCAGTCAGGGTTGCCCAATCTCAACATTCCTCTCCAACTTTGCTATCGATGAAGGCAATGGTGTCGTGGTATGAAAGGAAGATGTACAGGACTGGATTTTGTTGGTCCTTCACGACTACCTGATTGGGGTCCTAGAAATGGTGCAACACAATGGCTAGAGATGTTATCAGATATAGTTCAGTATATAAACCATTGGCGATACTGCTGTAACTTTACTTTCTTCATAAAAAAATTGACATAACTTCTTCAACTGAAAGAATTCTTTCTGGCTGTATTTTTGCTAACTGAACTGCATCTCCCATTATTATTATTTCACTATCATACACTAATTTCTGTTCGTTATTGTTATCCTTTTTCTTATTCGCACTTTACATTATCTGTCTATTGATATTCTCATTTTTATTGTGTGGTGCATGTGTATTTGGTACACCTTTGTACCAATATTTATGTGTTTAAATAAATAAATAAAATAACCGGTAGTTCTAAGATAACATCCAAATGCGTTTCTTATGTTTGAAAAAGATAACAATTTTGTATCTTACTTGTCTTACATTTATTAGTCCGATCAACAAATATAAACCCAAGTGTACAACTACAGCCGAAATCAATTGTTATAAAATCACTTTCTTTTTGGCTTCACCTTAATCTAAAGCTTTAAATTTAATCCAAATCACCAATTAATGGGAGACTCAAGTACTTGCCACAACCACACATTTTATGTGAACATTACTGAGCCTTAAAGATATCTTGAACGGACGCATATATTTAAAAGTTCCAGAGATATTTTATAACACAAAACCAATAGTAGCTAATTGGAGAGCAGCGATTTATCGATCGGACTAATGGCACACGGAAACCTGTACGAGCAGTCTAGAGTACTTGTCGGTCCTGCTTTCTGCCTAGCCCAACCAGTTAAGTTTGAAACATCAATATCAGCCTCTGCAATATGAATCATTATTCTCAAACATACTGCGTTTATATTCCAAACAAACTGACCACATTGTACCATAAAATAGAAAATAACATTTGTACAAGATTCAGATAAGTGTGGCTGTGAATGGAAGGAACAGCAATTAATGGACTGGGTATAGCTCAGGGATGGTAAATCGCACAGTAATAGTTTATGGGTCAAAATAAAGCTCATAATAAAAGGAACATAAATATAAATAGTCAAGTTACTTAGCAATTATACAATAAGAAATATACACATCATATTGGTACAAAAATTCTCCTCGGGATATAACACTTAATGAACAGGAAATCCATCAAGTTTTATTTAACTATACATTCATTTGTTTGTGTGTGGGCTGTGATACTGCCCGGGTGCCCAAACCGAAGCAGGTGGTTTTCTTAGGGGACCACACCCCGAGCCTTTGACCTAAAGGTCTGATCCACAAGGCAGTGGAGCATCGTGAGGAGATGCAGTCCCATGGTTGCCGTTGACCAACAGCAGGTTCTTCCGCCATTCGTTCCATCAGGATACTGGGGCCCATGTGCACCATTGGTTTGGAATCAGGGTTTTCCAACTCCCCTAGGTGGACCCTCCGTGTCCACCAATCCGGTTATAGCGCCGAACATTCGCTTTTCGTCCTCTCACTTTCGTAAACAACACCCCCGCCACGAGAAGGCAGTGAGTAGGACTTCCCTGGCAGAGGCTATATATTCGCTGGCCATGTGAGAGCATTTCGAGAGAGAGAGTAGACTCTCCCCACTCTCGGCCGTACCAGGGCATTTGGGGGCAAGCACTGGACGGCCTTTTCGTCCTATCATGGGACTACTCAGTATTGCTCATCCCCGATCCCGCATTCGCGAGATTCGAACCCAGGACCTACCAGTCTCGCAGGACAGATAACGGGGACCGTTTGCTGCAACTGTGCACAGACCACAACCTGTTTCTGGCCAGCACTAACTTCCGGCACAGTCATCGCCGGTGTGCCACCTGGCGTCCTCCCTCTGCATCCCAAGCCTGGACTCAGATTGATCACATCGCGATCAGCTACCGCTGGCGTGGTTGTGTACAAGACTGCCGCTCCTTTTGGAGTACCTATCTGGAGTCTGATCATGCCCTGGTCTGCGCCAATCTCACCTTACTTTTCAGTGGCCGAAGGATTGACCACCACCAACGGATTGATATTAGTAAACTGGCTGCAACTTCTGTTGCAAGTAAGTATCGAGCGGAGCTAGCCTCTAGGCTAGCTACCATCCCGCCGAAAAGTATAGACGAGCATTGGTTGCATCTTCACGACGCCATGAAAATGACGAGTAAAGCCGCTTGCGGCTTCGCGAAACGTCCCGCTTACAAGCACTGGGTTTCTTCTGGCTCCTTACAACTGATGGAAGCCCGTCGGTCTACTCCGGGTGACCGTGAGTTTGACCACAAACGAAGGCTGTTACGTAATGAAATCGGGCAAAGCTTGTGTAAGGACCGGGAAGCCTGGTGGTCGGAGCGTGCTAATGAGATGGAAGCAGCAGCTGCATCTGGTAACTGCCGGAAGCTCTTCCAACTCATCCGAGCCACTGGCAGCAAGAAGTCTGGTGTGAGTGAAACAATCTACGAGGATGACGGGATGCCAATCACTAACATCTGTCGACGTCTTGGACGATGGGCGGAATTTTTCGAAGGGCAGTTCAACTGGCCTGCTGCTCCGGCAACATCAACCAGCTTGTCCTGCTCCCCATGGCCGGTGACGACTGATCCACCAAACGAGGCGGAAGTCCGCAAGGAACTCCAACTCTTGAAACATTATAAATCACCTGGCCCAGATGACTTACCTCCGGCTCTTTTTAAAGATGGTGGTGACTTTCTGGCTAAGGAACTGACTGCGTTGTTTGGAAAGGTTTGGGAGCAAGAAAGTGTTCCAACATTTTGGAATGAGTCAATAGTCGTCCCTATCTTTAAAAAGGGTTCACGTTGTTCCTGTAGCAACTATCGGGGGATAAGTCTACTTTCGATCGCGTCCAAACTATTGGCTTCTATCATTCTTCGTAGGTTGTTTAAAACCCGAGAACGATTGACTCGCGAGGAGCAGGCTGGTTTTCGTTCTGGTCGAGGATGCATTGATCACATCTTCACCCTCCGCCAAATGTTAGAACACCGTCATACTTATCACAGGCCAACAATCGTAGTGTTTCTTGATATCAGGGCTGCCTTCGATTCGTTGGACAGGACTGTTCTCTGGGATTGTCTATTGAAGAAGGGTGTGCCTGAGAAGTTCATTAACATCTTAAAAGCCCTGTATACGAACACCTCAGGCAGAGTGAGGGCATACAACCACCTTTCTCCCTTGTTCCATTCGAGCAGTGGGGTTAGACAGGGTTGCCCGATCTCCCCATTCCTCTTCAACTTTGCCATCGACGACATCCTAGAAACAGCTCTGATGGATGTAAGTAATGGCGGTGTGGATATGTTGCCTGGAGAACGACTTCTCGACCTCGAGTATGCGGATGATATTGTCTTACTGTGCGATAATGCCCAAGGCATGCAATCAGCACTTAATCAGTTGGCAATCAGTGTCCGCAGATACGGCATGTGCTTTGCACCCTCCAAGTGCAAAGTACTTCTACAAGACTGGTAGGATTCTCATCCTGTACTCACCCTGGATGGTGAGGAGATCGAAGTAGTTGAGAAGTTCGTGTATCTAGGTAGCTATATAAGTGCTGGTGGTGGCGTGAGTGATGAGATTGATGCACGTTTAATGAAAGCCAGAGCGGCTTATGCCAATCTGGGCCATCTTTGGCGCCTTCGTGATGTTAGTCTGGCTGTAAAAGGTCGGATCTACAACGCGTCGGTGAGAGCAGTTTTGCTCTATGCTTGTGAAACCTGGCCTCTCCGAGTTGAGGATGTTAGACGTCTCTCTGTGTTCGATCATCGTTGTCTCCGAAGGATTGCTGACATCCAGTGGCAACACCATGTTAGTAATGCAGAGGTTCGGCATCATGTGTTCGGGCGCAGAGACGATAATTCAATTGGTGTCACCATCTTGAAACACCGACTTCGGTGGCTTGGACATGTTTTACGAATGTCGTCCCAGAGACTTCCGCGTCGTGCATTATTTGCCGACCCTGGGACTGGTTGGAGAAAGCGGAGAGGAGGTCAGTGTATGACATGGTGTCGTGGCATGAAAGAGAGCTGCAAAGGGCTAGCTTCCGTTGGTCCTTCACGACTCCCTGGTTGGGGTCCGAGAGATAGTGCAACACAGTGGCTAGAGACGTTATCGGATATGGCTCAGAATAGAAGCCAGTGGCGATCCTGCTGCAACCTTCTTTTACTTTCTACATAAAGAATGGTTCTAACTTTCCTAACTGAAAGAATCTTCTGGTTGTACATTTCAGCCCGCCTTATCTTTTCATCCTTTATCTACCTACTTTCATTATTTTGTGTGGCGCATATGTACCTGGTGCCCTTTTGTACCAATATATATGTGTTTAAATAAATAAATAAATAAATAAATAAATTTAACTATACAGCCAATTTTCTAAATGAAACGCATGACCACTGCTCTACAATGAAATAACCTGATTGAAAAAAGCCATTTGTTCTGTATATGATAATAACCATATGTATTGAAATGAATGCGGCAGACGAAACAAGAACATTGGGAACTTTACGCCACAATGTGAGGAAACATAGATGACCTAGCGACCGACCATTATAAAACAGAAAATTGAACTCAGGAGACTTATTTGTGCTCCTAACTAATTGAACTGTTACTAGCAACAATAGAATAAATAGATTTAATAATTGTAGAGCGGTAGGACGGTCCCGGTCAGGTTGACCGACTAAACAAAACGATATTGCATTAGCAGTCTGTCTTCACTAAGTTAGTTTTAAATTCTACCAAACCTGATGTTTTGAATTTTTATATGATGAACATGTCAGATATCCAGTTAATAGTTCACAATTTTGAAATCGTTCGTTATAAAATGCAGACATTTACGGAAGTCATCTCGAAGTTCTAAATCAATGAAGTATTTAGGATATGCGTGGAGTACTAAAAAAAATATAAAGACCTTGAAGTAACAAATATCTTCCACTTCCACTGGACACTGGATTTCTGTATGCCATCAGGTAATACAACCTAGAGTGAGAAAACCAAATCCTCAGAAAAATCACCCGAAAATGTTTACACTATATCAGTCCTATATAGACCGACATCATTATGCTTTCAACTTCCTTAACTTGACTTTTCAACAAGGTAAAAGAAATGGATTAATTGAAAGAGAAGATTTTACAGAACAAACATTTTCATTTTATCATTATGAATATATAAGAAAATATGTACAAATGCAATGTTTCATTTTGTCGCCATCTAAACAAAATGTGATTGATAAAAAGGTGGTTACTTACCCTGAACTGCTCTTCTATATTCGAAATCTCACTTATAAGATCTTTCAGAGCAGAAACGAAAACATCTACAGGTGTCGCCGGATGAGCTGTATGTACTCGAATGACAATTTTGTGCTCTAATGGATGAGGAGCTTTATATCCTGCAAATAATACTCTTGGATCTTTTAGTAACTGGCTAAATTAGGAAAATAGAAAAAAGAAGACAAATTTGAAAGAATGTTTAATCCAAGAAAAAAAATAATCCCGGAGCAGAAACTGAAGAGCAGAATAGCGACCTTTCGTCATGGGCACTTAATTTTAATAGAAACAAAATAGAGATATGTAGAATGATGGAAGTGGGTACACTATTTTTAGCAGCAACGTAAAAGTCAAGCGTTAAGTAGTAAAATGAATAAGATGAAAACTAAAAACGGTTAAAGAAAAGACAGTGAGTAAGGAACTGCTTGAAATTTATGGAAGAATAAGACTAAGGTACAAACATACAAGTAATTAGTTTTGTACATGATCGACTAGAGCCTTTAACCTTCCTTTTATCACACCTATTTCTTTCAGCTTGGATACTTCAGTCTAGTTTTATTTTTATTTTAGTCATTTAGCAGTTTTATGAGCATTATATTTACTCGTTATCTTTGTATGAATTCTGGATGGTTTTATACTTTAGAGAACTTGTGTCACAATAGAATAAGAAAATCAACTAGATGCCTTATACGAATCCTTTAAAATCCATTAACTTTATTCTGAACTACACTGGCGTTCGTTAGTGTATCGTGCCTCTTCAGTCATGGTCCAAAAGACTGTGTCACTTGAGACGTAGTCAGATATGGTTTAAAACAGAGGCTGGTAGGGATTCTACTATCTTTTCATCACCTTTCTTATACAAGCTCAAAGTTAACAGTTACTTCGAAGGTGTAGTCTGACTATAGTAGCCTGATAATGACTCTATAGGAACTTCAAACTTATTTACTTAAACCCAAAGTAAAATGGATTTTACTATATACAGAGGAACAAATATGTCAAAAAACTTCACGTAACAAAAATTGGTTCAAGTTGCCGAACTTCTCAACGCAAAGACAAGACAGGAAGATACTAAAATAAACAGATAGGAACTACATTGACGGTTTACACTCTACAACACGCCTAACACCAACGGTTAGTGATCTCATTTAGAAATAGCATGTTTTAGTGTGGTCACTGTTGACACATTTGATACAAGTTTAAAATCTAATCGACGAAATAACCTATCTCCTTGGCGATTGTGAGTATAACGTAGATCTAAATTTTGATTAAAAATACCTTCACAAATAAAAACGATCTTTTAAAAACTCAGTAATCAAATGAGAATTCATATGCTCAACTCTATACTACACTTTGTATGATTGAATAGTAAATATATGTGGATACCAGAATGAGGTCAGGCGGAACGAAGTTTGAACATGCAATTCAATACCCGGGAGATGGTCGATCTGATCTCTAACTTATAATACCATCGATGGTTTATAATGAAAATGACTCAATAAAGCTAGCCGTATATCTGTCGAAAATAATTATTTCTACAAACCACTTCTCTAAAAGGTAGTACAAAGAACATGAATTCGAATTACGTGAAAATATTAGTGAAATTCCAATCTGCCTAGTAGATAGTAAGAACGAAACATCTAACAGTTGGACTGAAACACTAACAAACAGGTTTTCACAAAGGAACTATTAATAACAAGAATGCCAGTAAGTTCTGACTACCGAAATGAATGAAATAGACATATCTTAAGAACTTCATGGGCCGGGAAGTGAAATTATTTGGATCGGATAATTGGTACACTTTATTCCGTTTACTTTAATATATATTCATTACCCAAGCTTGGAATTTTAAGAATACTCACATGACCAAATGATATGACTAATTAGCTATCTTTTTGTGACATACATAACCATATTCCGAACAATAAAGTTCAGCTAAGAGCATTGAGAAGGCTAACTAGCTCAAATAATCAGTAAACTTCCTGTAACACATAGCAGTCAATTTAGAAAGTAAATATACTCAATATACTATTAAAAACACACCATGTTATCATATTTCCAACAGTGTGATCCTCTCGATTTAGAGTAAATATGGCAGCATTTGGAACCTGGGTATCTTTTTCGAAGGAGATCCTGTAAGTGTAATAATCATTATCAAAGACCCACTTCTTCTCACCATCGGCAAGCAGGAACGGTTCGAATGAAGCAGGAGCATTCATAGTAACTCACACCCTCGTAATCGCGGGTAAAATTACGACCTCCAAACTTCGACTTTTAACTTTGCCTGTGAGGATGTGTATTCTTTGTTCTTTGGATTCTTTTCTCTGTGTATTTTGAACGAGTTCTAGGTTTTAAAAAGATTTTATTGTTGATGTACTCCTGTTAATAACTGAAGGGAACAATAACTAAGTTAATAAGGGATCGATAAGTGACACAGAGTGATCTCCATTAGTACCTGCAGAAATAAAATGATCGTTAAGCTTTCTTTGAAAGGTAAAGATGGAGCAACCATACAGAGCTCGACAAGGCTGTTGTTAGAAGTGACTGTACAGCCAGTCAAACGTCATGAGACTCAGTCAAATTATCCATCAGGCCCAAACATTTTTACATCAGATGACAGGTCTGAGGATACAACGGATATTCTAGTTTTGCAACTAGCAACCAGTAGTATCTTCTATAATCGTTCGTTCCCAGTCGAATAGAAACCAGAAGTCAGACGAGGAGAGGTAGGAAAGATATATTTGATACGTTACCAATATATCGAGGACCTTTTCTATGAGCTGGCTAATGAAACGTAGGAGCTGTGTCCCACGCCGAGTCGAAACGTGATCTGGTGCGGATGCATGACCGAAAGCCTTCAGTTAAACAAGTCCACTTAAACAACGTGGTCAGCATCCAATGTCGAACACTTAATGAGCTATTGATTTTGGGGAATTATTTACAGTTACAGGTCACTGGTCATTAGACGGTCTATCAGACATCTTCGAGGTCAAGCATGGTCAGCACAGACCAGCCAACCGCATGCCATGAACAGGCATGCGAGACAGTGGTTCTGCTTCTACTTTCGTAACTGCTCAATACTCGTATGTCCCGTTACCTATTGAGAGCATTCCAGCCAGTCATTAAGGTCGTCATTTCACCTGGTTTTCACAACGACATTTTAATCAGAAGGTTTGAGCAGGGCGTGAATTAGGAGGTCACTTTATTCCCATCCAGCTCAATTAGACAGCAATCATCGACTTAGATCACCTACACTGATGAATTACATGCCCTTTTAGTCGAGGATTTCAAAGTTAGTTAAGCAAGCTTTCTATATTGATCGAATATCTTCTTGAGCATAACTCAATGCTGAAACGTGCTGAGGGTCTATTTATGTTAAGAAAACTGTAAGCACTATAATACACCAAATCATATCTTCCTATATTGCATTGACTGAGGGTTAGAAGACTGAAAGAGAACTGAGTAAGATTTACTTTTTAGTCCGAACACATATGTAATCTTAATAGTTGAATTCATGAATCGATGTAAGATAGACCACCATTTAAAACTGAAAGTACCGTATAACCTTGTAAGACCATCTACGTTGATGATCTATGTCAAAATGATCGGGGGCCTACTATAGTTAGACGAGAATGGGGACGAACCAATTAACGCTGAAGTCACACCTCGCGACCAGCCCTTACGTGGATTGAACCATCGACGCATCAAAGGATAATAGATGCTATGGAGACTGTACAACACAAGGGACGTTATTACAAGAATATATTAGTTAAGGTACAACTACGGAAGTACAGAAGTGAAAGAATAACCACTGCAGCGTGGGCCAGTCCATGGCGTACGATTGGTTTTGTGCGCGTTGACTATCCTTGACCTTGATAGGGATCTGCGATCTGTTCGATATTCAGTGACCCTACAATACTCCCCCACCAGATTCAACGGCCGTTTGAATCGATACCAAACATGTTGGGAGTAGTCGCGCGCCGGAGGTTGCCAGACGATTAATATGAATCCTCCGGGTATTGCCGAGCTGTAAAAGAAATGGAAAGGAGGCTGCAGAAACTGATCGGGAAACAACGAGTAATAACACGTAACAAGGACGTTGGTTGAATGTTAAGCGATCAACCATAGAAATAATAGAAAAAGAAACATTTTGGAGTTTTATCAAGTCGCGTTGAAAAAGATAGCTCTGACAAGTGGTTGAGTTCCTCAGATGAGAAAAGGTAAGTTTGTCGCAAGAGTAGTGATGTCACAGTGATAGTACGATAAGTGTATTATCAATCGGTGCCGATGTTTGTACTGCCCTTGGTACAAAGTAGAAAGTCAGTAAGTGTCGCTGACAACCGTTCGTAAGCGTCGATTTCTAGTTATATATATATATTCAACAGACCAACTGTAAGTACAGAATTATAACCGTGAAGATAAGTCGTGGTTTCCTTGTGCGAAGCTTCTGATCAACTTGCAGTCAGTTAGGAAAAACTGATAACTGCTGTGAAAATCAATGTGGGTCGAAGAATAGAGAGCGAGAGCGAAAGGTGGCACGATGAAATCTCTAAAAGATGATAATTGGTGAGTGCTGCACACGTGTTTGATGAGTGAACCGAAAAATGTCGAAAAAAAAACATAAGAAACCAAGAGTGTCGCTCTGGACTCATGTCAGTGATATCGGTGAAAAATGCTGTCAGTGTTGGGGTCGAGACGACAATATCGTTGTCAGTTTGCAGGAGATACGCTCGACTGCGTAAACCGATGATTCGCGTGAATGAGTGTCGTCAAACCACCAATTGAACTGGACAGGCTTTAGATCGTCGAGTAGTTGAACAGCCGATTGATGTACCGAAATCATCTGTTAGATAACAGCCATGCGGAAACAATACTTCATAATATGAAAAAATACGACGTCGAAGTTGAATAACTACAATAGTTCGGATGTGTTGTAATGTCACATCGAAGTAACATCATTTCGTATACTGACAATTGTACTGAACGTTCGTTTGGGCATTGTTTATGCAGCAATTGGATGTGCAGTAGCAAACATATACGAAGACTATCGTGGGGTTTGTGGAGAATTTCAGAAGACGTTTAGATATTTTCCAAACCCGTATTGCATGTGAATAAGCCGAAGACGGAATTGAAGTGACTTTCGTACAATAAGGAAATCGAGCCATGATTTACTGTGTGAGATAACAGCAAATACAAAGCGCATAGTAAACAATAATTTAAATGGTAACCACCAATGTAACTAAAGTTTAGGTTTAGATAACGTGATCGTTTCGTAAAAATAAAGCATATTATCTAGCTCTAAGTGACATCAAGTACGACGAAGTGTCTCATTAAGACATGGACTAAGATTGCTCGTGTACATAAAATAAGTTTTTTTCAGAGTATGTTGACTTACGAGTCATAAATATACGTAGTTTCGACTAAAATTTGATGGCAGGGACAGAATGTATGTCTAAGTGAAAGTAGCCGCGGAATGTTATTAGACATCATAAACATTATACGAAATTATTTAACAGTTATGAAACTCGCCTGGATTACTCTTGCTCCCAAGTAATTGAAATCTGCTGATGAAATTCGTAGATTAACGAAGCGTTGTAGACTGAAATGGTATACGTCCAAATTTAATTTGAGCCAAACACGTAGCCTTGCCTGGCGAAACAGTCTAAACAAGATATAACATTGCAGGAAATTTATGGTTCAAACTCACCGTAAATTTATAGCATTTGTATCCTCTGATTCGCCATGGAACTCAGCAATTGGAAATTAGGCATGCAGTGGTCAAGAAAGTAAAATATTCTAGTAGATAGTTTTTGATAGTAGTTAGTTGACAGTGAATAAGCAGAAAGATGAATTTAATAATCGGCAGTTTTATCCTGTATTGGTTATACAAGTGGATAAGTTGCAAACAGATATGCGTCCGTGTTGTCTTCAGGCCATACATACGAGTGGTTGATATTTTAACAGACATATTACACAGGAGCATTTACATGCTGCTAATGCTTGTTAAAGAACCACGATAGTCGTAGTTGTTTGGTTAGTTCTATCGATTGAACTAATTATTTCAGTTGAAATACTAATCAACAGTGATATGACGCAACGAATGTTCAGAGAAACTGATAAAGATAGCCGAAGTTAAAAATGAAAAATTGTAAGTATAGAATGCAATAAAAAAGATCATGATAGGTTGCGTTATTTGAAGTCTTGCTCACCAGTGTAGGATCATCTACGTTGATGATCTATGTCAAAATGATCGGGGGCCTACTATAGTTAGACGAGAATGGGGACGAACCAATTAACGCTGAAGTCACACCTCGCGACCAGCCCTTACGTGGATTGAACCATCGACGCATCAAAGGATAATAGATGCTATGGAGACTGTACAACACAAGGGACGTTATTACAAGAATATATTAGTTAAGGTACAACTACGGAAGTACAGAAGTGAAAGAATAACCACTGCAGCGTGGGCCAGTCCATGGCGTACGATTGGTTTTGTGCGCGTTGACTATCCTTGACCTTGATAGGGATCTGCGATCTGTTCGATATTCAGTGACCCTACAACCTTTTCGTCCTAGTACGGGACTTCTCGACAGTGCGCATCCACAATCCCGCACATAAGACCCGAACTCAGGACCTTTGTTTCCACGCCCGAACTCTTAACCTCCAGGTCACTGAACCGAAATCCAACGGTGTTAATGTCTGACTTCAACCGATCCATTTTTAATATTTCAAGGAAACTATTGTCCTATTATGGCCAGGTAATAAGACTCCCGAGCATCCTTCCACATGAGGACTCAGATAAGCACTGAAAAGTACCTTGCATAATTCCAAAGTCATGCTAACAACTATTCTAGAAGGGAAGGTCTGCTTTATTGGCTATAGATTGTTAGTGTGACGCCTGGAGTATCACAAAGAGTAAATTATTGAAGTTGAATTTACTAGAAAATAGGTGTTTGAGGATGTGTTAATTCCGTCCAGCTTTAGTATTCCGTATCTGTTGATGTTTATGGTAAGGAGGTTTTTGGGTAATCCAGTCTTTTGTCATATTCAAATCATCTTTAGGATACAATATATCATTCTGGTCAACCATTTTCTTTCAGATCTTAAGATCACTGAGGTAAAAGAGTTTGAATGTCCAGAGAATTAATTGATTCATTAATAACCAATATTAGGGATCATATCGTGGTATCATTGGTTCAGAACTACACGATCCTTGAACCCTAATGTACGATAACTGTAAGATTTACTCTTAAGATTTAACACCATAGTGAATATCGGAAATTGTGAACGTAGGAACACTTATTCAGTATGGCATAGTTTGGCTATGCAGGCACGGTCACTCTACGTAACTTATTCTTTACATACTAATCATATCATTCCATCTACACCCCAGATGCGTTCTTCAGAAGTGCTAGACATCACATTGCTGACCATCATGATAGGATGAGTCAGTCTAGACCATCATGCAACTTCCGAGTATGGTCTTATGAATTAAATAGTCACATTATGACGAATCTACAGTTTTCGGATTGCGTCTATTATTCTAGTATGAAAAGTAAGTGTGTTTAATGCCGACTTGGACGTTGATCTCACAATTCAAAGACTGAGCCATATAAAATCACACTTGTCATGA